TCACATATTCTATAGCTTTTCCTTGCCTTTCTGTTTCTTTCTTTGTCAATATCTCAGCTTGCCAAGTTATATTAATCAGATCATGGGAAAGAAAAATAAAATCACAAGGAAAGAACCGGTAATGTTTAGCATTTTTTGGTAGGAAAAAGTGTGAAGACTACAAGTACTGCCCAAGAAGTTTCTGCATTTAAGCTGCCTATAATGACACAGATACTCTAGTGGGGTTGGGTTTTGGGGCTTCTGGAATTTTAATAGAGACATCAAGGTAAAACTAGGGAAAAAAACCAAACAAAGTAACATAATTTTTTTAGCTAGGATGGTTGTCATTTATGCTGTTAAATAGAAATATTCACAGTTAAAGTCACAATAGTTTTCAAAATGATTACATCCTCAAACCCCTCCTTATGCCACTGTAAACTCCTAAGTTTAGCTCCACAGATTTCCTTTAAGAAATCTTTATTTTATCCCGGGGCCAAACCCAATAAAATCGAAGCGGGTGATAAAAAAGGCAGTGATTTCACTGATATATAAATGTGTGCATTTTTTGTCCTTGTGGTCACCCTGACAAATAAACTCTTGATCTCCCCAGCAGCTGCCTGGAAGCAGCATCATGTCTGTGCTGCACACAACAACTTCTGGAGATGTTTTTAGGTGCTGCTATATAAAGCTTTGAACATTCTGGTACAGTCATCATCCGAGTGAGTCAGCTGAGCCTGAATCACTCTGATATGTGGGATTGAAGTGAATGGATCTGTCTTTTGAGATTGGGATGCTCTGGCATTGCTACATTTCCACCTGTTTGGGTGGTGCTGGTAGAGGTGAGATTTCAGTCTTCAGCAATAAGTCAAAATAAACAAGTTTTATAACCTATTTAACTTTTTTTCTGTTCCTTGATAGAAATAGGATTTAAACAAAACAAAACAAAAATGTTCTGTTCGTGTGTGTGTGGGGGGGGTGATTAACATAATGACAGCCCATGGGAAGGTTTTATGTACATTTGCATGCACAAGCTTTTTCCCTCTGTAAATCCAGAAACACAGAGCTGTTCTGACTTGAGGTGGCTTCTCCTAGACTGTTAATCACACTCCCTCTCCACCTACAAGACTTGGACAGATTGGCACAGCACCACCTAAATTAACTTTACGCTAACAAAGAATTTCTCCAATGGAAGCATTCCTTGTTTCACTGTTGGGATAAACCCACAATCCTGTTGTGCCTCTTCCCAGTCATAAAGGGGAAAAACTGCATGGATCCATGCACAGCTTTTGCAAATAGCATTACATACATCTGATAGAAAGACATCTACTCATACAGTGTATAATTATTCTTTCAGCAGCCCTCCAGATTTGTTTCCTCTCATACATTTTATTCTCATTTTGTCATACATTCTTCATCACGGTTATTAGGCTTTAAGATACCCTTGACAAATATATAAAGGGCAATATTCCTCACTGGCAGCAAATTATGTTTAGGGTTTTTTTGAGTTAGTAGGTAATGTACCAGTAAAAGAGTAATTAATTCCTGAAGGACTGAGCACAAAAACAAGCATACGTTTGTCTGAGAAAGTGAGAAGTTTGACTAAACAGAAAGTTTATGAATTATCATGCTGTCATCCAACTGGATCAGTAGCCTTTTTCATGTTGTTTACTAAATGCCAGGCAAATTAGGACAGCAATGAATCACATGGTTCCAGAATTAACTGACAACTTTTGGAGAATTTTTTTTTTCCCATGAATTAAGGCTTTTGGTAGTGAGGAGGTATAATAACCAGAATACAAAATGCCTTGGATTCACAGATTCCATTGGCTTTTTATACCCTGTGTCTCATGTCTTTAAAGACATTTCCTGTGACTGCATGTGAATCAGCACATACTCAAAGTGGACTAGGTTAAAGTCATGCAGAACAGAGGAACATCTTCTAAAACTTACCTGAGGAGATTCTTAAATATTAAGCACCAATTTTAGAACAAAAATTAGTGAAATCTGTCTAGAAAGTTTATTATGCCAGCTACAGGGAGCCCAGTTCAAAGATATTACTAAATAGCACACACTACCCTACGATCTGGGGAAAACGTGTTTCTTTAAGGCATGGTCCAACAAAGCATGACAAAGAAAAAAAAAACAAAAACAAAACCAAGTTTTGATATTTGAGAATATATGGATAGTTTCTCAACTTAATGTCCTTATATATTGTTTCATGGCAAAAATCTTATTGTAATACGAAGCAGAGGCTGTCAAAGGAAAATAAAGGAATATACATTTCTGTGGTACTTTTTGCTCAGCTAGCAACAGATAGCGCTGAAAAGTCTGATCTCTGAAGTGGTTCTTATGTCATTTTTACCTTTGTGGGGTGGGTGCTCTGACATTGAAGATGAGGTTTAGTCTTGTATTTCAGGATGGCAGAACTCCACAAGCAGGCACTGAAAGTCTGTGAACATTATTTGTTTATGGGTCCAAGAAAGATAGGGGATGAGGAGACCCAAGGAGATGCACCTTGCCCACTTCCCTCTGCCATGGGAATCAAGCACTTTGAAAGAAAGTCAGGATGAAGGAAGTCATGGAACTTAAATATCTGAATATCTGAAGTCACTGTCTCCCATGCATTTTCAAATTGTCTCTGCTAAATGTATTTACCACTAATTCAGAGAATAATTTTCCCCACTGAACTTGGAAAATAACTCTTCATCAGTCATATTGACTTCTGTTTTGAAAACAAAACCAAGCAAGCTGGTGCTTTTGGCTTCTTTGCAGAGCATATCTATAAGTTTTCTGTCCTTGTTCTTTGATCTGTCTCCATTTGTGGCCATTTTTCACTGTGACATCCCCCCCTACCCCTCATTAGAAGCAGCACTCCAGTTGTCTTCCACTGTTGGCTAAAACACCAATTACTTCAGCCTTGTCCTCATTATTCATAATTAATTTATTTTTTGTGTTATTCATCTAGTTTATTTCTAAACACTCTTGTTTTGTTAAATTTCTCACAACTTGCTCATTTCATTTTGCACCCGGTTTCATGTCTGTTTTCCTGCTTCTTCCACATTGATATCTTCCATGATTTATGTTTACAGTAACCTCTTGTTTACGTGTTTTTGTGATGTGTGATATCTCAGACTGTTAAAAAGCCAACTTCATTAGTTTATTGCATGTGCCCTATTTTTCCTCTGCAGTGGGATAAACTATTATTTTCCTTTCAATACTAGGTTTTGAGGGAACGGACTTCCCACACTTATTTGTCCCTTCGATTATCTCCTCAACAGACTCTATCTACCACTTCTTTGAGGTTGAAGTCTCATCTTTTCAGCCATTTTGCTGCATTCACCTCTTTCTTTCTGGGAAAAGCAAGTGCTCATCATGTTCCAGCAACTGATCACCCAATTTTCCTTCTTTTACTTTCTATTAAAGCAGCATCTCTGCAAGTGTAGCATCAAATTACATGCACTCCCCCACGTGTTAGAGCTGAAACTTAGAAGAGAGTTCTGCCGTTTCAGACCTTTCTGTTGATGCTGGACACACGAACAGTGAAGATGAACACTCCACAGGAAAGAAAATGAGGTCCTAAACCACACTTAGGAGGTGAGACAAGGCATTAAAAACATCAGTACAATCATAACAATGACATGGTTATGACCACACAACCAGCAGAAGAAAACAATTCATGAAGGGCAGCAAACTTCAGCACAGCACACCAAGAGCATCGTCCTTCCAGGATGTGAACCCTCTGAAACTTACACAAACCACTCTTTATAAAGACATGGCAATTCCTGTTATTCTGTTCCTTTTCAGGAAATGTTCCTTTTGCAACCTCTTAGACCCATGAAATGGGCTGATTTCCATGGCCTTTTTCTCCTTCTGAAGGAAAAGGACTACTACACTCCCTCTCTTCATTAAAATAATAGCAATTTCACATTAAAAGTAATATTAAAGATTAAAACCTGTAATTTTAGGTTTGAGGTCAGTTTATCACTTGAAGGCCACATTATTAAAATATCTGTGCCCTGTGGAGGAAGAATTTAGGTGTTCTGATACTATCACAATCTTTATTCTTCCAAGTCAGGCAGCTCACTACAACCGACTAATAACACTTCCAGGAAGAAAAGATTTCATAACTTTCTCAACTTTCCTGGCCTAACTGCACCTCACCATGTCAATACTTGCAGCGTGGCAAAAGAGTATTTCCTCTCTTCTTTTGCACTGAAAGCTTTCAAGAGACCATAGGAACCTTCTGCCATTTCATTTAGCACGAGAGATTTGTAGCTACCCAGAAGATTATAATCTACAAAACCTTCTGCACACATCTTCCCTATTTAACAGTTATCTGATCAGCCACTGAATAAAAGAGTAAAATAACCTTTATATTTTGCTCATAAAGAAATGAAGCATTACTAGAAACATCTGAGAATCTACAGCAGAAAAATCCCCAACAGATGGGGGTCAGGGAGGGGAGAGAGAACTTTTAGCTCATTTACTCCAGCTCTGGTGAGATAACAACACTCCTAAATTAGGAATGCCTTAAACTGTAAAAAGCTAACAAGGGTGATGCAATGCAATGCCTCCTTGTTATCAAGCAAGATTTCATCAACAGAAATTCCAGTGCTGAGACACCTAGCTTGTTTTAAATGGTAGCACCCAAAATAACCAGTCTTAAAAGGTCATGTTTATTTAAAAATAACTTGCTTGCATTTTACATTGAAGTTAATTTACTAACCTTAAAAAATTAAATGCAAATGTATACAAATAATTTAAGCATCCTGTCAAAGTTCACATACACTCTGCTAGAGCAATGACAACATTCAAGGTCATACAAAATCTTTCTTAACCCACGGATCACCCTGTGGATTAGTCTGTTAAATATATACTGAACTGAAACGTTCGTACTTTAGCAATTTCTATCCTTGTTAAAAGAAAAAAAAAAAGAAAAAAAAAAAAAGAAATCCAAATCAAAGCTCTAATTCCCTATTTATCATGTGCTTCCCAGGCCATAACAAAGAAGAATACTGTACCTCTGATGCTGGTGGCTGTTGCCGATGTGGTTGTGCTGGCTGTTAAGGCTACATTGGTTGTGACTGTTGCAGTGGTAAGGGAGGGGATGACAGTAGTGGGAAGCAAAGTGCTCAAAACATCTGGTGAGTGGAAAAAAAACAAAACAAAACAAAATAAAATCATATCATGCAAACAAAGGAGAACCATAACAGTGGTTTAATTTGTAAATACAAGCATGTTGAAAATGGCTAAATTAAAACATGATTAACATAAATTATTACAGGTACAAGGGGTACCTTTAAATTCTTGACATTTATCACTCTCAATTTGTATATCTTTGAGTACACAGAATTTAAAACTCTGTTAAAATGACCGCATTTCCACAGAACGAGAGAGTGACAGTTTAAGTGACAAGAATGCATTTCTTCGCTGAGCCATTTTAAATGTCTCACGTAGCAGAAACCAGATACAGATGAAACATGCTGTGTCAGAGTGGGAGATGAAAAAAAACACCATCATGCTAAAATAAACACACACATGTTAACGAGAAATGGCTGTATGTTAAAACACCCACTTTTAGACAGACTCAATGAAGGGAAAAAGGGGAGAAAATGCTACTAACTATAAGAGCTGCTTTTTCCGGATTGCTTTTCTTCTTCCCACACATTTGCTTAAGACACAGTTGTCTGCTAAGATCCAGAGCAGAGTATATTTCAAAATCTTTACCCTAATCAGCAGGAACAGTCATCTTTCAGTCATCCTTAATGCTTACAATTTATTGTTAGTACACATCAGCATTTTTCTAAAACACCTTCAAACTAAAAATCAGAAATTATAATAATATTACTGATAAAAAAGCATGCATGCAAATCAGAAAAAAATCATACCAAAAATGATGACAGCATCCTCTAAAAAAAAACCAAACTATCAGGTTTTGCTCAAGCAAGTGCAGGTATACCAGGATTAGGAGCTTGACTGCTTCTCTGCAGAGGAACCAACAGCACCTGATGCAGAATGCACCAGTACAGAGCAGAACACAACCAGATGTACACACAGAAAATACTTTGTTAACATTTCCAAAAGCAATAAAGACCAATAGGACTTTGCTTATAAGGTGATTGCAGGTTTTAAAGAACAAACAAACAAAAGCTCTGAAGAGCACTGGAGAAAAGCACTTCATGAGAAGACATAAAAAGCATCTGACATTTTTCAGATTATTTATATTGCAGGTTTGAAAGGGAAGGACTCGTTTCTCAGCAGTTGATGGTGAGTAACCCATTCCATACTGATTTCACTCAAAATATTTCTGAAGGGTGCTCTTCAGTGTGGTGAAAGAGCAAAAATCTGACCCACAATCTGTCTTCCCTTGCTGTGGAAAGAAATGCAATTGGTCCCTGGGTACCATCAATTCTGACTGGAATCAATGGGACCCCAAGTAGCTCAGAGCTTTTCAGTATTGGGCCCTACAGAACACACTTCAGACACCTGGTCCTTGAGTTCAGCATTGTTTAATTACTCTCTTACGGCTTCAAGGTAGCATGCTTACCTTATTTCCATGCTGGACAAGAGATTATTTTCAAAGTTTGAAAGTCTCCTTGCCAGTTAAATACTATTTTCTGTATTCCTCTGGTTTTGATAAAAAACACCACTATGCTCTCTGGAATCTCTACTTGTGTGATGTTCTACCTCTGAAGTCATCAGAAAACAGTGTAGGATCCATCTTTCATCTGTACACTGATTTTTAATCTAATGAACACTGATATTTAATATAATTCCCAGTATAAAATATCCTCAAGACAGAAAAATTAGAACAGGCTATAAGAACCCTCACAGTTGTAGCCATATTAATCACCAGGAATAATGATAATATTACCTGGAGTGTGAGTACCACAATAATGAAATAGAACTGGATATAACAAGAATTAGAAATAAATTAACATGTTAAAAAGATACATGTCACATGGACTGATCTATGCAATTTCTTCTCATAAAGGGAAACTCCTTTCCTGATAAGTATCTGTTAAAAATTAAATCAAAGAGAAAAAAAAAAACCCACCTACTTCATAAGGAGAGCAAAACCTTGTTTATTAGGAAAGTTTTACACATCACTCTTGTACGCAAAACTAATTAGTGTGACTCATGGTTCCATTCATTATCTTTCTTAAATACCAATTACTTAAGACTGGAGTGACAAGTTATGGTTTTTTGACAGTGCTATCCAATCTGCAAGCAAGCTGTTTACTTATTTTACCAAATAATAGCTTACATGAGTCACTGGTGAACTTAGAACTTTCTGGTTTCTCTTCTGATTGAAACATTTCAAACAAGGTTTCTTATTTTAAATGAAAGGCTACCTAGGAAGCATTCTAGCTAACATGAACTAGGATATGTCAGTGTTTTAATACAGAAGTGATCTCATCAGATTAAGAATAATGAAAACTTGTGCAGAAATTAGTTTCCTGATGGAAGTCATAAACTCTGATGCCAAGCATCAAAATGGAAACCTGGCAGAAGCCTCAAAGAAAAATACATTCTCAAAGAGAATGCAAAAACAAGGAATAGCATTCAGTTTCTTTCTTTCCAGAGTGAGGTGAAATTCACCATGCAAACGATTGCATCCAATTGCTTCACTCACAGCATTACAAGGATTTGCTCCTAAAGACCCCAGAATGAGAGAGAAACCAGGAATCAGCAGCCTGAGGAGCCTCACATTGCCCAGGCAATGTTCAAAAATGTTAAAAACCAGCTTAGGTTTGAGGCTCTGCCCAGTGGAATTACTTCATTAACAACATGAGCCCTCCACAGGAATGTGCAAAGTAACCAAATAGCTCACAGCTCTGCAGACAACACTTTTTGGAATGCCTGGACCATAGCTCATCCTTAAATCCTACTCTGGACAGCCCAGATGCAAACACAGCATTCTGAAATGATCCCCACATTGAAAAGACTTGTGTGTATGGTGCTGAGTCTGACAGAAAGGCTCCTATCAGCTCTTCCAAGATTTATGGATTCTCATGAAAACATTGCCTTGAAAAGGGTTTTGCATTAGAGAACACAGAATATGCAGTTCAAGAAATAAACTAGAAGTAATGTCCAGTGCTACTCAGTCTCTCATCATGCAATGCAGGTGTAGGAGGTAAATGGGTTTGGAGTTGCCCAAAAGCACATGGACTACAGATAAAAAAAATTATATTTAACAGCAAAGACTTCTGTTTAAGCCTTATGGGTCACTGTGCTTCATAGAAGATATGCAGCTCCATTTCATGCCAGAAAAGGGAGTTACAATTCGACCTGTTTCTTCTAGTCCTGCAGGACTTTTGGTCATTTTTTTTTAATGAAATCAAACCTTATTTCAAATCTTATTTCACTAGCAAGGCACACGTTGTCATCCAGAGCTCCCTGCTGGCAGCTGCTCAGAACATGCTATCAAAGGGACTACGTAGATTCGTCCCCTTGAGCTTTCTGTCAGGGAGGGTCTTAACAGAAAGGATTTGCAGATTTCTGCCCAAGAAATCTGTGCTGGAGTGAAACTAAATTCCACTTCCTTGTCTTGCAGTTTCTGAATCTAGTTGTACACAATATTCAGCTGAAAATGAATTTTTGTTTATGCCTCTCATGCCACTAAATACCAAGGATCATTATGACCAAGAGACCTTGCAGAGCAGAACTTTTTAATTCAAGTAGCCATACCCAAATCACTGCACCAGATTGCTATTTCAGTAATACTAAGGTATTAATCCTTAGCCTCCTGTGAAGCAGAAAATAGCTATATTTTGCAGATGGGGAACCAAAGAAGATAGAAAAGCCATGCTCAGGGGATCTAGAAGTCAAGCAATAACTGCCTCCATTAATTTTGAAACCTCACTTTTAAACTGGATGTTTGTTGACAGACAGATATTCAGTCAAAAATCCAATAATGCAATTAAGTTGGTATTAACTTCATCATCTAGCTAGCTTTGAAATGCAAACAACTCATGGAGAACTAATTGTTTCCATAAAAGCTGTTGGAAATAGGAAATGGGTTGACCTTCACGCCAAGGGACTCCCATGGACTGACTCTTTGTCACTTCTGTTCCACAGGTTACACGGGTGAGGCTTGAACTGGACATTCAGTAGGAGGGATGGGCTCCTGAGCCCTCTCCAGGGGCACAGGGAGGTTTGAGCTGAGCTGCAAACGCTCAGCCAAGAGCCCTCATTTCAGGGAGGACCTGAGATGCTGCCAGAGGTCGGTGCTGCAGAGAGGGGACTGAGGAAGGTTCTGAAAAGGTGTTCCTTGTGCCGCTGCTGCCTGTTAACATGCCTCAAGCAGGACCAGGGGAGAGCAGCCAGCAGGAAACCTGAGGGCTGATTCCCAGTGGATGGTGGAAAAAAGAGGAGGAGGAAAACTGGGCTTGGAGTGGAAGCTGCTCTTTAGCATGGGCACAGACGCAAACTGCTTTGGAGTGGCAGAGCAGTGTCGAGCCCCATCCGCTCAGAATCTCCTGCTTGCTTCTCCTTCTTTCTTGAATTGATGCCGTGTTCTCCTTGCTAAGGCAGAAGACATCCATCCATTTAAGTGCAGGGAGCCTGGATAATTTACTCTCCCTGCCAATTTGGCCCTGAGCATTTTTACTCTCCATTCCCAAAGAAATGAGAAATGGTTCTGTTTGGTTTAGCGGGCTTATGTGAAAGATAGATCTGACCTATTGAAAATATTTGACTTTTTTGGTAAAAACATAACTGATATTTTGACATGACTGAGCACAAATCAGACAACAATAGCTGCAGTTGATAAAAATGTAAAGGCTTTTGTTTCAAGCCTGACAAAAGCTGACAGAAAAATTAAAGGACAGAGTGATAATGATGGATGGTCCTTGCTGTATTTTGACTGAGAATGAAAGAAATTTTAAGTGGTAAACTGAACTGAGTGATGACCTACCTGGGAAACAATCTCAGTACTCTGTGAAAAATTTAATCAGTCTGTGGTATGTAGCACTAAATAATTTAGCAAGGTTTTAAATTCAAAGGGAGCTGCATTTACCTTGCACCAAGAAAATGGGATTGAACAAAAGGATCGCTCAGCTTGAACATCATGTGCCAATAGCTCCTTAGCACTTAGACTGAATGATCATGAATGCTCATGGACACGAGGTCAAGGGGT